GGGTACCATAGTATCCCTAAACCCTAAACCCTTATTGGGTACCAGGGTATCCCAAAGTAAAATACTGCTCACCTTGGTCACTTCTGGCAGTTATGGTCAAAAACTACATCGGGATCGGGACTCAAGAGATGAAGGGCCACGGGGTTTAGGGCTTAGGGTTTAGGGCTTAATTAGGGTGAAGGATTTAGGGTTTAGGGTTTAGGGCTGAGGGTGAAGGATTTAGGGTTTAGGGGGGTTTAGGGGAATTTCGTCAACCTTAACCCTAAATGCCTCGACATCCTGAAGCACGTCAACCCAAAACTGGAAACTCTGAACTCCCTATATGAAAGGCCGGTTTCCCTTTTTAAAACTGGAAACTCTGAACCGTTGAAAAAACATGCCGGTGTCCATTTTCTGAATTGGAACCTCTAGGCCTGTGTCAATTTCCTATTGGACTCTCCAAAACCAAAACCCTCTGAAAGCTCCACAACCCTAAGCCCTATGGAACCCTTAGAAATGTGCCTATATTATTACCTTGTATGATCCCTAAGTAGCACCTGGAAACCATGAAGCCTAAACCCTATATGATCCCTGAGGAAATTCAGAAACGCTAAACCGTATAGGATCCCTTAGTAACACCTAGACACCCAAAACCCTACACCCGGATGATCCCTAAGTAACACCTAGATACAACTGTGATGTCGAAGATGCCGTTCCAAGTGTTGGCCTCCTGGCAACCGGATCTGCTGGCGGTATAGGGTTTAGGATTTAGGGTTGAAAGTTTAGGGTATGGGGTTTAGGGTCTAGGGTATAGGGTTAAGGGTATCGGGTTTAGGGTATAGGGAAAAGGTTTGCGGTAGGGGGTAGAGTCATGTAAGGAGCATGCGAGCATGACATAAACTCTTCTACTATAGGCCTATATGATCTATAGTCTAAACTCCTAGTATCCCCCTTAAGAACCCAAAAAGTAGTCCCCTATATGATCCCCTATAATAAGCCCCCTGAAGGAGTTTAGACTATGGCCTACATAGAGGCGGCATCATCTGGGTAAGCATTGAGGCTTCTACATTATCCATCATAGGGGCTCCTTAAAACAGGCCTAGGTTTGGGGTTCCAGTGAGAAACGATGCCAGGAATTGAGAACCCACCAAAACTCTGACAGGGTTCTAATTTAGGGAGAAACCGTGAAAGTTTTATTGTTTATGTGGGCTCACTTAGATAGCCCACTCACTTGTACCAGGGCATACACCTTGGATGACATCATGGACCCCTTGATCTGACGTGAGGCATATTCCGTAATTCAAGGGCGTTGGCGCCGGACCCGCCGAAACCCTTTACCCTTAACCCTAAACGGAGGGTAAAAACCCACGTTTGGCAAAGTGGCATTCACTGCCCGCAGGCGACGCGCAAGATCTGCTAGTGGGCCTCGCGCAGAGCGCCGCTCAAACCTCCGCGGGCGCACAGGGTTTAGGTCTTTTAGGGGTTTCAGAGTTTGTAGGGTTAACACCAGGATGGGATATTAGACCCATTAAGTCTGCGTGACAACCCTAAGGAGGGCAGATTCGGGAGCTCATCAGGTCTACTGGCCCATCCGTCTTCCAGTGTTTTGCGCAGCCTATGTTTTGATGGTCGCTTCTCTTCCCAAGAATAAAATACTCACAGACCCTTTATCTCTAGCATGGTCTGCGGAATAGATATATACATATATATATATACACAATATAGTCTATCATATGTCATCTTGCAGGGTGGGCATGTTTCTAAACCTGAACCCTAAAATTTGTACAGGTCACAGCAGGTAAGTATGAGCTCGCTGGTCAGCGTCGCAAGCCACTAGTCCAAATGGTGCGTATGAGCTCTTGAGATTCTCTGGGGTCCAGCCTTAAATCCTAAACCCCAAAACCATGAACAATGTAAAGAAAGGGATCTAACCCTAACTAAATCCTACACCCCAAGACCATGAACAGTGAACAAAAAAGGCCTTGAATAAATCCGAACTAGGGTCCAGTCAGGCCTGATCTTTGGGGGGGGGCGGGGGGGGGGGGGCAAATACTTCATCGCCTGCCCCCGACATGAAAGCCCCCACCTCTAAATTCATGGTAAGGATGCCGTTGTGGTATACCATGATACACTGAGAACATCCAACATCAGGGGGTTGGGGTTCCTCTGTTGATACTGAAAATCCTGCATGACGTTAGTATAAAACTACAATACCAGAATTCCCAAGGTTTGGACTACTTAGGGTCATGCAGGGTTTTTAATATCCAGCGTAGCACTACATTGGTATTGTATAGTACGATACTTCCCCAGGTACAAGGTTCTCAGGGTCATGCTCCAACGTATCAGGGGAAGGGGGATTAGCCTATGCAAGATTAGCCCTGGCCGTCCGAGCCGCTCCAGCACAGTGGTCTTGCGAACGGCTTCTGCGCGCTCCTTCTATGAGGCCCAGAATCTCGTTTCAGAAAGCCTTATGGTTTCAGGATGCTTGGTATAGCCTCAGTTATCAATAGTTCATAGGTCCGAAACACCTCGAAATAGACCTCCCCAAATTCCTAAGAGTTCCGCCTATCTACCCATCAAGCTTGGATTGAGGTCTATTGTTTTGGGCATTTGGGACCTGCAGGGCCCTGATTGTCCAAGTATCCACAGATTCAGTACGTGGGGCTTCGGTCATGGGCACGGCAATTGCGCGGTACTTACGCCGGAAGGTAAGCATTGCCAGAGCTTCCAGAGCCAAAGAGATGAATCAACAGAAAAGGCCTTGTGGAGCTAATTCAGCTACAGTCTAAACTCCTAGTCTCCCACTGAAATAACCCCTATAGCAGGCCCCTATATAATCCCCAATATAACAGTAGGCCATTATATAATCCCCCTAGGGCTCAGGGTTTAGGGGTTTAGGGTTTAGGGGTTTAGGGGTGTAAGGTTTAGGGTTTAGGGTTTAGGGTTTGAGGGTTTAGGGTGTAGGGTTTAAGGTACCAGAATGTACAACATACTCGAACTGTCAGGCTTTATTGGGGAGGCCCCAGAACCCAAAATGCGAGCAAGAGCCAACCGTCGTAATATCTTTACTTTGCAGACTTTGCGGGATTACAGGCTCAAGGATGCAAAAGTCAAAGCAGAAAGAGCCAGACCCTCCTAAGGTCCTAGTACCCTTACCTGGGGACTTAACAGTGGATACTAATGTTAGCTCCCGACTAGTGTGGGGGTGCTCAATTGTGCGAAGGTTCGCCGAAATTATTCAGCACCCCCTAAGTTCGTTTGGGGGTGCTGAATTGTGCGAAGTTGCGCGGCCAAAAAAAAAATCTGAAAATCATTAATTAGAATGTAAGCCTAGTTTGCTTTGAAAGCCATGGCAGTCAGGACGTATTTAATTCAGGGTCCTAATCCAAGATACCCTTTGTTACTTAGACTAGAACCCCGTGCCCAGAGCTTCCAGGCCGCTTGGAGGCCTACCAGTCATTTTTCGTAAGGGGTAAAGTCCAGCAGATGGCCGGATCCTCAATAATACGCATGTTTTGGGGGTGCTCCATTATCCGTCAAAACCGGGACCGCCTAAAATAGCAGAACCCTAAAGCTTTTTATTTAACTTTAAAGGCTCAGCATTTAAAAGCCAAGCTTCCAGGATCTCGAGTTTTTGAATGTCAGATCTGAGATCTCCGGATTTTAAGAGTTCAAGCCACATGACAGCCTTTCTGTACTCCTCCAAGTCATCCTTCCTCAAACTTTTAAACCACGATTTCACGGATTCGTCGGATTCTTTCATGAGAGCCGAACGAACACGCCCGGAGCAAGCGAAGCAATGCGCCTTCAGCTTGTAGCGGCCCGCATTCTCTTCCGTCAAATGCATGCCATAGTCCTGAAGACATACGCAACACTTGCTGTCGATCTCCTCCTCGGCTTTCTCGGGCGGCACGTAGTCGGACATGTGTGCTGGCCGCGCGCCGCGCAATTCAAGGGAGGGAAATCACAAAGGATTTTCCCGCGGCCTGGAGCGTGGTGACCACGGACTCCGGAAGTCAGTTAATAAACTAAACTGACATAAGGGTTGAGCGAAAAAGAAACAATTTCCATTAAAAAAAATGGAGATCCCACGACGACGATTTAGGTAGACCCTCATGAATTCCCAGAGCTTGACTTATATTATAATTCTGTTGTTCTTCTTGAAGCCTTCCCTGAACTTCCGACCCCCGCACCCGCATGCCGGGCCCTTCACTTTATTTCAGTACCCTGTAAATCTGCAACCAAAAATCATGCAAAGACACCCGCGGCGAGCTTCACGTGCTTCCTCGCGATCCATTCTTCTTATGATCCTGGGTAAAGAGGTTTCGAGTTGCCTAGTTGCTTAAGGGGGAGGGGCGGGGTTCAAGTGGGGAGTTAAGGCCACCGAGAATCCGCACTGCTTCGTTCGTACGCTGCGTGAAACGGCGGTTTTCAGAAGTCTCTTGCTGCGCAGACGCCTTCGCTGAACCTGCGCAGGAAACTTGATTTGGCTTTACGCTTCAAAAATTTTAAACTAGTATAAGTTTGAGTTTGAGGTTTAGGACTTCAGTATAAAGTTGAAGGGCTACAGGATTACAGGGTACTACAGGAAGCACTGCAGAGCAGCAAGGTGCAAGGTTTTTCATTTGGTCTCCTGAATCTTTCGAAGAATCCTTTGCAGCCTGACTTCCTTGACGTCCGCCTCCCTCTCCCTTACAGCCACGCCTTCAGCCAGTACGAGTATTAGTATGAACCCGAACCCGGTTGCATTAGTGCTTTTTTTCCGGCCTTTAAGCAGTACTATCGCTACGCTTATGCTGCAGTCATTGCCTACGACCTGCCGACCGTCGTTTGAGTCTTTTTGGGTCACTGCGCCTATGCGACTTACTAACTATCTCCTAATCTCCTTACTTAAATTTACTTACCAACTACCAACCAATCTAACTTCAAACTTCCAACCCTTCGGGACACCCAGCAGACTCCCAGCCTAGCCTATACTCAGTTGCGAAACCCAAAAACGAATGAACATGGGACCGCGTGACTGGTCTCCCTCTCCACAATCTCCGACAGCAAACGTGCCACGGCCACGGTGAAGCGCTTCCCGTACACTTCCTTGTACTTGCGCTTGTAGTGCTTCTTCACACGCGTGACCAGTGCCTGAGTCGAAGCAGGATTTGTAGTTGTGTGATAGTATCATATTGTGGTCAACCCTGGACCCTGGGCCTAAACAGGCCTAGTCCGTAAACCGCCTAAACTGAGCCTAAACCCTGAAAAAAATAAAGCCCTAACCACCAAAAAATACCCTAAATCATATATTGTCCAAACTCTAAACTATGCCAAAGCCATAGACACTATAAACCCCAAGCCCTCGGACTTGGCCTCGTACATTGCGCACTGCGGGCGTACACTGCCCTAAACTTAAACAATAAGCCCTAAAAGCCAAAGCCCTATATAAAAATTCTAAACCGTAAAAAGGCTAAACCCTGAAAACTGAAAATGCCCTAAACTTCCCTACAAAGAAAAACAAGCCCGAGCCCTCAGCCCTAAAAACTTTAAATGAACAATAAACATGTTATTAGGGAACCATGCTTCTGACATGCGCTCGCTGCTCGAGACCACAGGCGACGAGGAATCGGAGTCGTCGTTGACATCGACAGCCTCCGCGCCTGTTCTTTCCCGCTCCTCCGGGTTTCCCTTGCGTGTGGGGGAGAAACTAATTATTGGAGCTACAGTGGCTACAGGGCTACACTTACGTCCTAACCAAAATGGAGACTTACCTTGCTATATAACAATTTTGAGGCAATTGTTTTGCGCGCCGTGGGCACGCGAAGAGGCTTCGGAGAACTGCCGCGTCCAGCGGTTCACGTCTTCCACAGTCTCAGCATCCAGCATCTCCAGCAGCCTTCCGGCGCGGTCCGTGCGCGGCTCCCTTCTCACAGGCGCCGGACCGTCCTCATCCTCCGAGTCCTTGAGAGGTATGAATTCAGAGCTAGTGAATCTGAAAGGCTGATAATTTAGTCACAAGTTGAAAAGGGTGATGCTGAAGTGTGCAAGCGACCGCCTCCCGGGATGAGGGATCTGACACAAAGCTGATCCAGTCAGCTGGCACGCGACCTGCACCGCGCCGCGGCATGTCAAGCGAAGCTGAACCTACCTATAGGCCTTAGCTATGAGACGCCCGCTGTCTGGGTGTGAAGTGCAGCAGTGGTGCTGGAGTGGCGGTGGTGGTGGTGGTGGT